CACGTTGCTTAAACCTAGTATTATATAAAGTGGCCAATTTCTTTTATTTTCTCCATTTTTATATCCTTTGATATAGTTTTAAGGTAAAAGGCAAAAAATTATGAAGAATGTTGTAAAGATTCAGAAGACAAAAGGAAATCAAGTTGTCAAATGTTTAGTAAAGTAGAGTTTTCACGTGTTCAGTAGTTGCCAATATGACATGCAAAACCTGAATAAGTCATATTTCACGATGCAAGTGAGTAGTCCCTACTTTTTTATTGGAAGGGTGCTGGGCTCAGCTTGGTTTTCTGGATTCATTTGTCGCGGAAAATCCATTTCACAATCAAGATTCTGAAGCTTTTGCTTGATTTCTGGGTTCGTTCGAGCATTTAACCTTTTGTTATTAAACCTATTTTGGAAAATTTCACTATTCATAAATAGCAAGGGGGATAATGTTAAGAAGTGCCCGGTTAAAAATTATTTTTTTATTTTTACCATCAATTTCGATCACGTTTGGCGTTGGCTGAGCCAATTTAGTTTTAGGGTCCACTAGAAAAGGCTTTTGAAAATTCAAAAATTATTTCTGAGATTAAAGCTATTTTTAAACTTGTTTAGATAAATTTCTGAAAAAGTTTTGTTTGGTTTGAACAATTTTTTGAGAAAGTTACTCTAAGTGATCGAGTTGTTGGTAAAGAGAGCAATCATGACACCAACTTTCCGAGTATTGCTTGATGTCGGAGTTGATCCCAATTACTACAACCACTATTCGCGATTTATACATGTGATCTATACTAGTTGATGTCCTCTCACAATATTATGATAATATTTACCTCTTGAATATGATATAATTGAAGAATATAATGTTCTCTACTCCCCCTATGTGATTATAGAAAATAGATTAGAGTTAAACATATCTTTTTCGTACACTATAAGATCCGTAACCTCGAGATGACACGATGTCACGTGTCTACTTCTCCTAACATTTTTCGTCCTTTGATGAAATCAAAGGGTAAATGGAGGCATTTTCAAATTCACAACTTTCAGCTATGTACAAAAGTTATACAACTTTGAATTTGTTAACAAAAATAAAAACATAAAACATATATCAGGTGAAAAAATATTCACTTACTGTCATGTTTAAGTATTTCTTATTCATTTAAACATGATTTAAATTGAATAAATATAAAGATATAACAAAATAAGTTAATTCGGGTGAGTTTGAAGAATGAGGTTAGGACGTTTTCGTCCCCGTGCCATTTAGTATCTGGGGGCAATGCAAAGTTTTCTACCCCTAGATCACATACGATTAAACCGTTGTTTGGGAGAGAGAATTTTAGAAATTATTTTTTTCACACTCATTTTCAATAAAATTATTTTCACGTTTTCCCGTAAGTTCTCCATCCTTTTTAACCACACATTCTACAAAATTTCATTTCTCGCATAGAGAAATCTTTTCCCAAACAAACGCTATAATGTGCTCGACGTAGAAATCATTAAAAATAGGAAAGCACGAGAATAGAAAAATCATCTCCTTTGTTGGCTAAAAGTGTAATTTGAAACATCAAACATATTCAATCTGTTTTGTATGAGAACCTGCTTATATTGCCACCATGTATACCGACATGTAATAATACATTCCCAGTAGCACAAAACATTGCTTCCCACTCATTATTGGCTAAAAGTGAAATGTGCCCCATCTATCAAATATGATCCATTTTATATGAGAACCATCTTAAACGAATATAGTAGGATAGTAACATGAACGAGTTAGAAAACGAATCGAAACAAATGTTGGTGAAGATGAGATTAATGATCCAATGAGTAGTTCAAATTAAAGTAACATCCACTCTACAAATGAGATATATGGAAAACACGATTTGGTTCGAGTAATTAGCACCCTATACACCACAGGTTTTACTAAATACATATAGACAACATACGGACTTGATATAAATAATTAACAGAATTTAAAAAATGTAGTGGTTTTTTTAATTTCTTATAGGCCTTCATCGAATTATGTGCCTTCCTCACACTCTTTGAAGCTAGATCATATCGGTTTCATATTGAACGATGCACTTTTGGTTCCCACACTTGTTGAGTTGAGACGCCAAGTATGTCCTTGTGATATTTCGAGAATAAGTGAAATATTTCGTTGATGTGAGGCTATTTAATATCGCTAGTATGTTGGTTACTTATGTTAGTGGCTAGCAATTGAAAAACGCGATGGGATGTTACACAAATCAATTTAGGCACTGTTTGTTTCGGATTAAAATCATATTTTAATTTAAGTCAAAATCAAATAATCAATATTAACCACATCTTTCATGTGTCTCGCAACTTTTTAACCACACATTTCAAATTTTTCTATTACAATCTTTTAAAAATATGAATTACTTAAAGCATATGTTCTACCAGGTGACGCAGTTGGGATATGTTAGTACCATAGTCGTATCAAGAAAATTTTTCTTCATTAGATCTGTATATACAAAACTGACTACATGGACCCTACATATACATGTGATGTGACTGATTGCATGGACTAGGGACGTAGCCAGGATTTCAATCTTGCAGGGTGAAAATACGAGGAGGGGGGCCCCCGATATATTTTTTTTTAACAAAGAGGATTGAAAACTACGATTTTGAGTACCAAAATAGGCAAGTTAGATTGACTGATCAAAAAGCCAATCAGTTTGTCGATACAAAAATAATATGTCCATGTATTTGTCTAACGTTATACAAATTGAAAACATGAATGTTAGATGGGTATCAAAAAGACAAAAAGTAAACTGTCTATCTATATAAGAGATAGTATAGATGGTTTGGACATCTAAAATTGGTATATCCTTGTCCTCATCACTTCAAAC